ATAAGCTTATATACATGAATACTTGCATACATATTAATACATTTTAATACATTCTAAATACAATAGAGTTAAATACACCTGAATATAGCATTATACAGTTCTGCATTAATATGTTTTTTGTAATTCATAACTTATTTTTGTTCACAGATTGTGTTCAAGGACATCACTCCTCTAGATATAGAGCTTGTTGTTATTCAGGTTTCTCAAGTGTGCGCCGATATTGAGAAAATACCTACTCCTGCGCATTCAGACTAATCGGGACAGGATACGGATGACTTTTCTCCTACACCCAATCTTCAATCAAGAAGAAACATATTGAAAGTGTTGGTCCATCTTCATCACCGCCACATAAGAAGGTCAAGGAACAACCCAAGATTCCTACAAAAGAACCAGAATATCAGCCCAAAGTCCCTCATGTTTGTGTTTCTGACATTGGACATAAACTTGTGCATGACCATCAGCTCCCAGAAGGCCAAAATGAGGAAGTATCTTCTTTGAGGAAAGACCTAAAATCATTCAAAGAATACGTGAGTATTTACCCACCGATTAATCAATAAAGTTTGATAGCTATGTGTTTTAGTATTTTTCTAACTATTTTGTACTGTTAAGGTTGTTGGAGAGTTCAAGTCTCTAAGGACATTGATCAATGATAACTTCAAGATGCTTTCAGACCAACTTCAACAAAATCAGCAAACTGAACCCATAGTGAGACATGATGGTGGCATTGACACAGATGTCGGAGATAATAATGAGGTATAAAAGCAGTTATCATATTGAACATATGTATTTAGCTGTATTCATATATGTTTTAATCTAGCCATTTTACTGTTGTATTTAACTGTTATTCAGCTCTATATATATGTATTCTGACTTTTAAATCTTAACATATTGAGCATATTTTTTTAGATGTATTCATAACTGTGTTACACTTAATCTGTAATATAACTTTAAACTGCCATATTTATTTTTATTTCAACTGTATTTACATGTATTCTGCTTGGTTAATCTGCATTTTCTGTAATGTATACTAGCTACTTATATGTATTTAATCTTTTTTCTAACATTAAGTTACCATGCTAACAATGATACATACAACTACCAGAAACTATTTCAGAGGTACCGTCCATCATACCATCTACCACAAACCAAGAGGATGTATCTAAAGAATTCTATGTTTCTCAATTTGAACTGGACGACAAGTTTCTACCCAGTCAAATTCCAGAAACTAGAATAGTTGTTCACGCCAGTGCAAAAAAAGATGAAGCCACACCAGTGCAACCTCAACGAAATAGGCGACCAAGTAGATGGAACTCTTCGCCTTATCAGTCTAACTTCGACTCAGGAGGTAAGTGATTTTACAAACGTAATATTCAGCATTCATCGTGATTGAATCATTTATAGTAGTCCATAAACACAAATTCAATTTACAGCATGTTCCTCTGTAAAGTTGACACCCATCTTTGAGAAAAGACACCCGTTTGAGGAAGATCCAATAACGGGGCCACATCCTATGTTACTCATTCAAGAATATGACAAGTGGGTTCGTGAAGGTCTTCTAGCAAGACATGATCAGAAGTGAGTTTTCCCCCGTTCATTGTATTATGTTTTCATTTTTTTAAGGTATGTACATAATGAGTTTTATATCATACTTGTAAAGGTAATCTCGACGGCCATTACAAGAAAAACAAGTCTATACTTCACATTCTATTGGATTTTGGAGTTGATCACGTTGATTCCAAAAAATGGTTTTACCTTCTATCCATTAACGGGAAGTTATGGGATGACAATGTGAGTCTTTCCCAAAAATGATAATCTTATCTTTAAATAATAACATGTTGTTTTATTAACTTGTATTTAGTTGTATTATTCAGTTGTATTCAGCTGTATTTTTCTTTGATTTCCTATGTATTCAGCTATAGTCAATTGAATTGAACTGTATTATTAACCTATAGTTAACTTTATTAAAACTGTTGTATTCAACTGTATTGAACAATTGAATTACCTGTATTCATCCAATGGCAGTTAAATTCAACTGTTTCAACTAGTTGTCCAGATCTGTATTCAATTGTATTACAGTGTATTCCACCAAAGTCAGTTGAATTGAACTGTATTATTAACCTATATTCAACTCTATTCTACATGTTGTATTCACCTATATTAAGGAATTGAATTAGTTGTATTCATTCAATGTCAGTTGAATTCAACTGTAGTCCATAATCTGAATACAGTTGTATTCACCTGTATTACAGTGTATTCCTCTATTTTCTGTATTCATTTGTATTCAACTTTTTTTTAGCATCTGTATTGAGGTATTCATATATATTATTTCTTAGTTCAAGCAAATAAACTCACACTATCTACCAACCTCTTTTGTTTATAGCATATGGATGTCATATTCTACTATTTGCGAAAGATGGGCAAGTACAATCAGCATAGGGACTTCACGTTTACTACTGTTGATTGTATATTCAAGACAAGAATAGCTGAAATATATGACAGGTATGAAGATACAGATAGTAATGCTAATGTAGCCAAACAAGAAGACGTTGTATGTGAGTATATTAGGGGCTACAAATTGCATGCTAATGTACCCTGACATACAGTGGATAATGTCTTGATACCAGTGAACTTGAAGGAAAAACTTCATTGGGTGTTGGTTGTTGTGACTTTCAAAGATAGATGTATCAAAGTGTACGACTCGTACACGTCTTCCGGTAATGATGCATACGTAGTCTCTGAGATTGTAAAGCTAGCTAAGCTACTACCTTTGTATCTGTCAATTAGTGGCTTTTATAGAGATAGTCAAGGCATTGACTGGTATGCTTATCCCGCATACACAAACAAGGATCATAACGAACCTTTTGAAGTTATCTTCGTTCCAAATCTGCCTCAACAGAAAGCGGGCAGCATGTAAGTATCAAATCATCTTTCTTATATGTTTTATACAAATCTAATTGTATTAATATTTTATATTCTGTTTCAATCAATTATTTTTTAGGGATTGTGGAGTGCATGTTGCAGCCTTC